GCTCAATGTCAAGTTATTTCAGACAGCAGTTGGAGTCAAAGTGCTGGTGTGGCAGTGGAGTGACAGATGGGTCAGACAGGCCGAGAACGGCTTAAAAGGACCTTATAAAGGGCCAGTTGAATCTTAGTCCATGCCTCTGGTCACTAGGTATATTACACCATCATTCCCCTACATTTTCTTCCAAGTATCTGGCAGTGCAACAAATTCAGAATATTAAGTCATTTGCTTCTTTCTTATGGGTACACGGCACAATAAAGGCCTGATACCACTTTAATTTACCTGAAAGGAGGTTCTACTGGAAACCGTCCAGCACAGACTCATCCATTAAATGTTCCTGCATGCCTGGGGACGTGCTGCAGATTTGTTACTGGCATTTCTGAAAGAGTCTTTGCTACAAAATGAAATTGGTATTATGTGACAATTACTTTTTAACGAACAGGCAATGTTAACGTAAAGTCAACAGTTTAGATCACTGATAAATTTGTCTATTGAAATGAAATATTGAGCCACAAACAGATATTTAGGAATAGCCGGGGAACTTTGGTACTGAATGTGCATCTTGCCTTATGTGCTGTGTACAATATTGCAACTCTGCCTGGCAGGTAGTCTGCTGTGGTTCTGAAATGTGTACGCACAGAACGCAGCTGGTCTGTTGTAACGTCTGCTTCATAACTTGTAATGTTTTACTGTTTTCAATAATCTAACTCAGGGTTAGTCAATCCAGCATGACTGATTGATTACTACTAGATCACCATCATTAAGATGGCATTTGGCATCAAGTAATTGCCCGGCAACCGGGGCTGCTGGAGTTTTTCAATGGGTTGTTGAAAATTGATTTTGTTTTGATTGAAGGCTTGAACATCAAATTGAATAGTGTTTTCAACTGTGGATATGGCTGAACTGATGAAGATAATTGGATAAACGCTGTCACACCAGCCCAAGTAAGGAATTTCAGCCAACATCTATACATGAGGATGTCTCCCATAAGTTGCCATTGCAATTGTGTGCCAAAACCTACAGGCTACCCAACTCTGCTAAGTGACGTTTTGACATGGCTGAGTCAGTGATTATTATTCAATATGCATGATACAACTAGAAGTTGCAATTATCTCGCACCTTTCAATAAAGTTCTTCACTTAATTTTAACAGTGGAACCTCCCACACACCCCAGCTTGGTTCTGTTCCACTGTAAACATGGCTTCTGCAATGTATCACACACTTGGGCGATGATAACTGGCTGCAGGAAGCTCGCTGCTCTTTCCCAATCCAACAGCCCAACCAACGTGCACTGCCTCCTCCCTGAAAGAATGTCACGTGGGGTGGTCGGCAACATTTTCAGCGACAAAGAAACTGAATGCTGCTGAAACAAGTGTTTATAAACATGAAAGCTCTGACATTTCTGAGATAATCTACAATTGAATTTCTTTTCTCCGTGACTTAACCAAGCTAGAATTTGCAGTGGCTAAAAGAGAGGACGAAGATTCCGAGGAAGGATCACTCAACCCAAAATGCTGATTCTGATTTCGCTCCACAGATGCTGCCAGACCTGCTGAGCTTTTCCAGCAATTTCTGTCTTTGTCACTGATTAACAGCATCTGCAGTTCTTTCAGTTTTTATGATAAAGATTTAACATGATCCTGAGGCATCTCTTTCCAATGCTATTTGAACTTGTGCTGTTAACTTTTTATTTAAAGAAATTAACACCTTCACAACATGGTGGCCCAGTGGTTAGCACTGCTGCCTCACAGCGCCAGGGACCAGGGTTCAATTCCAGCCTCAGGATGAGTTTGCATATTCTCCCTGTGTCTGTGTGGGTTTGCTCTGGATGCCGCCCACAGTCCAAAGATATGTAGGTTAGGTGGATTGGCCATGGGAAATGCAGAATTACAAGGATAGGTTAGGGAGGTGGTCTGGGTGGGATGCTCTTCAGTGGGTTGGTGTGGACTCGCTGGGCTGAATGGCCTGCTTCCACACTATAGGGATTCTATGATTCTGTTATGTGGCAGAGAGAGAAAATATTGTGCGAATGTGCTAAACTCATGTTGACTGCAATTATTTCACTGTTAGTTGCTGGGAAGAGCCAGGATGGAATACCAGATTGTAACCTTAATACAACACAACTGAAATAATTATTTCTTCGTGAACTCTTCATCCTGAAGCCTCCCCCCTCTCACCTCAAAAGAATAAAAGCAAAACGGCAGCCACTTTGAGCAGCAAAAGTGACCAGATCATATGTTCTTAGTGAAGTTGCTTGAGAGGTAAATATTGGCCCCAGGAAATGAGATTGAAAGGAAAGACATTCATTTATACAACTGTTTTCACAACCATAGGAAATCCCAAAGCACTTTACAGCCAATAGTTTTTGTGAAGTGTAGTCATTTTGGTAATGTAGGCAACTTGGCAGCCAATTTGCACACGGCCAGCTCCCCCACACACAAAAAAAGCCTGTGTGATGTTGATTAAGGAGGACACCAAGGGTGTCTGCTGTGCTCTTCTTTGCGATAGCACCATGGGATTTGTCACACCCACATGGAGGGGATATAGGGCTTTTGTTTAATATCTCAACAGAAAGATGGCATCTCCACCTGTACGTTGATACTCCACTGGAGTGTTTAAGTGTGTTCGACAGAGGCTTAAATTAACTTCTCACCTGGAATACAACTCCCCCTGACAGTACTGTTTTACCCTAGTTCTCAAGCATTGCAACTACTCCCAGAGATCTAACAGAGCCACCTCCATCAATCAACAGAAAACACTTCACAATTCATTCTGTAAGCAGGCAGATAGTTTATATCATGCAAAATATTCTAACATCGTTAGATATGAGGGCCAATATTTTCGTGCTAAACAGCAACTTTGTTCTTCGTCTGATGAATGGTGCATGGGCAGGCAGATATTGGGACACTAATTGCTTTCTACAGCATTAGCAATGGGTTCTTAACCTTTGCTGTATGCATAGGTATAACGCCCCCAAGATACAAGGCATATTCTGACACATAGCTAGCACCTGGTGGATACAATTGCTGAGAAATAATATGAAGAACCTAAATTCTGTTCACTGGCTCTTTGGTGCTTCTGAAGGCTGCAGTGCTGTTGTTTTCAAATAGGAAATACTGACTAGTCACTGGGTGCAGCACATTATTTTAGCCGAAAGCTTTGCATTCAGTGAAAACCCCTTTCCTTCATTCATACAACACAGATAAATGTACTTCATGCATAATTTTTTTCAAATAAACACGGAACACCATTCACTATATCAAGTAAAGCTCTCACAATCAAAAAGACACTCCACTTTTCAGCTCAGCATTTGACAAGTAAATACAAACACTCTAAAAATCTAAATATGCCATTGTGATGTGATTTGTGTTTTGAGGTCAAATGCTCAAATATGGTGTCAATTACTAATTTTTTACTCATTGATCAAAAATGCAAATAGCTTGACCTGAATTCTTATATGAAGTCCATGGCTCAGTTACATATATATCTACATTTCGGTGTATGTTTGTCAGTCCGTCTGTCTATATGTCTGAGTGTCTGTATCTGTCTGTATGCTTGTGCGCAGGCAAACCTTTAATGGATTCAACAGAAAACAGTTGGGCAGATGTGTCATAAGTAACTGCGGAGAACATCATAATGCTGTCATTCAGTGGATGTTTTTAAAAACGTAAGTACCGTTTTATTTCTTCGGGGAGGCAAAAATGCCAATAGATTATGGATATAATTAGAAAACTTCATGTTTCATTATTCAACTCAGACAACCTGCCATTTGCAGTGTCACTAGATCAAGTGTTTAACCTGGTCCTGCACAACCTGATTCCTTTTCGTTGCTGGAGCTCAAATTGTACTTAATGAACCTATTGCAACAAAGAATAAAACAGAGGCAATTATGCAAATTTTCAATGGGATAATCATGTGTTTTGCGTTCAGTGAACAATGGTGCATTTCGAAAATGTGCTGAATGCTAACAACTTCCAAGACTTAAATCCAGCTGCAGTCTGCACTGGATCCTCAGTAGCAGTCTACTGTCTTCTTCCAAACACAAACCAAGCACAATAATATTCACTGTAATTGGCGCAAGGTCAATGAGAAATTGGTCCAAGTGTAATTCGGCCAAACATTTTCCATTCACTCCCACTGGATATTAGTCAATCCATGGAACCACTTTTCATTCACACTGCCTGTACAGAACTTCAATGGCTAAACCCCACTTTCATGACACAAACCCTCAACAGGCTAAAACTCACTCACTTTCATTAATAGACAAAGTCACTACAGGGTTGCACTCTCATAGAGACATAACTGGTGGTGATTTCACCTGAACATCAACACACCTCAGGCAAGGGGAGACATTGATAAGGAGAGTCTTTCATGGTAACCTCAGCTGGTGAAGGAAGTGAACCCACACTGCTGGCATCTCTCTGCATTGCAAACCAACCATCCCACCAACTGAGCTAATACTGAACCACAATGAACTAAGCTCATTTGCTTTCATTACATCAAACCTCAACAGTCTAAACCCTCATAGATGATACCCAATTTCAGTGGTTTAAATCCCATTCAATTTCATTATACTGAGGTTCAATGGTCTATGTATGTTCATTTTCATTATACTGAGCCTCAACAGATTAAACTACATTCTTACAAACATGAAACTTCACAACACAGTTTGATGGAAAACATTTTTTTCCTGTAATTTAAGGTGAAAGGGAATTTCCTGGTTGGCGGTGAGGGGCGCTGTGAGGTGATCATATTAACTTTGTCTGCAAACAGGCCCATCTCATCTGTAACCAAAACCTAGTGAAAAACAAGTGGCAGATTTTATATCTGGACCACAAAGACACAGAAATGAAAACAGAAACAATTGCTACTGAGAAGAGCAGACAGAAATATTGTTTTTGTGTTAACAGGTAAGGAAAATGCTCATAGAAGTCAGTTTTGGGTCCTGTTTGGAAGAAGGGTCACTTGACCCGAAATGTTGACTCTGCTTTCTCTTCACAGATGCTGCAAGACCTGCTGAGTTTCTTCAGCAATTTCTGTTTTGGTTTCGGATTTCCAGCATCTGCAGTTCATTTTTCATAGAAGTTGCCTTCCTGTTTGAAAAGAAGAGAACAGGATTGACGAGATTTTTCAAGATTTAAGGAATGAGGAATCGCCAAGGTGGATTTTGCTGATGCAAGTCTATTCTCATTTCTGAAGGGCAGTAGAAGATGTGACTTGCTATGGGGTGGAGGCATGAGATGAGTCCGTAAGCCAGTTGAGACTTAATCTTGTATTGTCACCCAGCTGCTAGAAGTATAGTGTTAAAGTAAAAATGCACTACACAATTCAGTGAATTAGTTAATGCAAAGCATCTTTTTGTTGAGATGGTATATCTGTTGTCTGTTGTTAAGTAGTATTTGATCTATGTTGATGTTAATTGGTTGTTACAGTAAAAATCTTAAAATGAGAAATCTTGTCCTGTTATTCTTTTCATTATTTCTCATTTCTATAAAACAAAATTTCTCAAACACTATACACTTTTATATGGAACCTCATTGAACAAAACCACATTCACTTCACTAGGATAAACTCTTCCTCATTCTCCTCCACTTCAACTCTAATGCATTACGATTCTTTCCAATCTATAATATGGACACAATGAGACAAACATCAACTAAGCCTCAAGGACCATCAACTTGGTGAAAGACGCTCATTGGTCTGCCCGAAACTTGTTGGTCTTCCAGAGCAGGGAGTTGACCCTGACTGAGTGTTGCAGACAGGCACATTCCAAGGAGCAGGACCAATTGTGGAAGGACGCACTCAAATTTGGGGCCGCTGCTGCCAAGGTGCAGTGGGGGAGGATCGCTGTGTGACGTCTTTCTGCCGAACTTAAATGGGGGTCCATTCAGCTATCGGACCCTCCTCGTGCCTCAAACGCATGTAAATATAATATGGTTTGAGTAAGAGATGCCTTGTTTAGATACAGTCAAACTCCAAGACTGGACAAACAGGAGGCTGGAAGAACACAGCAGGCCAGGCAGCATCTGGAGGAAAGGAGCAGTCAACGTTTCGGGTATTACCCTTCTTCAGGACTGGATGTGGGAGTAGGGGGAGCTGCAGATAAAGGGAGGATGGAGGCAGAATGGTGTTAATTCTGCCTCCACCCCTCCCCACTCCCTTTTTATCTGCATCTCCTCCTACCCTCACATCCAGTCCTCAAGAAGGGTTATACCCAAAACGTTGACTGCTCCTTTCCTCCAGATGCTGCCTGGCTTCCTGTTCGTCCACTTTGTATTCCAGCATCTGCAGTTTTTTTGTCTCAAGCTCCAATATTTGTTTGTTTCCTTGATATGCTCCTGTACAAAACTGAACGGCGTTTGTGACTGTGTATATATGTAAAAATATTTTTTTATAAGGTTTATTTTTGAAATAAAAATCTTTCTATTCAACCCAAAGGTATGTAACTAACTAACACTAAGCATTGTTAAATACAACATCATGTGATATAAATTTCTCTCAAATTATCCACTTAATAATGCTCATTTACAAGATGAAGCGGTCCATGGCTAAATGTAACAGAAGACATCGCAGCATATTTATACAGTCGAATCATTTTGTTAAATGTTTTTTGTTGTTTATTGTTAAACTGGATTGCTGAATGAACGACTAAATGGCCCGGGCACAAAAATTTGCAAACAGGCTATTTTTATCAAATGTTTATATGAACTTGGATCCAAGCAAAACATTCCTTGGTGAATGACTTATGTGTTTATCAGATTTCAACTGTGTTTTGCCCAGTAGCAATCAAAATGGGAAAACTCAATAACTTGGGAATTGCATTGAATTGAACGGGCTTATTCAGGTTTCATTGTATACACAGAATGACCACACAAGCACACACACACATACACATACATACATACAGCACTCGAGATAAGATCCCTTTCCACTGTCTACTTGACGTACATACATTGTAGCTTCGGTTTTCTATCTCCAACGCTGAGACCAAAACTGAGTCAACTCAATCACTGTTACTGATAGACAAATCGAATCAGAGCTGCCTATAATCCAATTTTTAAAAGTATTATACCAAGTGTGATACCTTCCATGTCTGCAGAGAAGCCAATGATCAGGAGTGGAGAGAAGATGATGGTAAAAAGAGCGGTGGGAGAGGGGAGCTAGGACACCCTGGCTAGTCACCTAGATGGAAACCCAGCTGCAAAGACCCCTGGCCTGTCTCTCCCATGCCTGTAATTTGTTCTGTCTGCAAACTGTGTGGTCTGGGGGGAAAGTGTTGCATCTCTGCCCCAAAGACATTAACTGACACCAAACCGGAAGTGGGTACTAAACTCTGCTCCCTCTGGTCCATGACAATAGATGTCATGTTCCGAATGAAATGCAGAGAAAAAGCAACTACCACCTTTTGCTGACTCACGTGGAATTATATCGAGCTGACCTTTAAGCCCAAAGTGACACTTTATAAGGGCTGTGTCCTCAGCTCCTTGTTTTATGGCCGAGAAACATGGATGTATATCAACTATCAAATAAAGAGGCAGAATAATTTTCGTCTTCGCTGTATGTTATGTATTCTGGGTGTATCCTGGCAGAGCCAAATCATGAACACGGAAAAGGCAGTGTTCCATGTCACAGAGGCTCTGGACATCAGTTATCCCAGTTAGGAGTCTCTAGCTGATGACAGAGAAAATTAAGGAAAACTCCTGTGAGCTGGTGCTTACTATATGATGATCCATGGCTACACTGACTTGCCAACGGACTGGACAATGCTGAGAACAACCGATCATTGTATTTCGGAGCTTCATGTGTAGCACTTGTGGCAGAACCTGTCTCTCAAGGACTGGTCTCTTCAGCCACCAGCAAGGATTATCAAATTCCACGTGAACGCCATCTGAAATGGATCTGTCCTCTGAGTGTCCACCATTGTTCCTGGATGGAAGCTCTGGTCTGGTCTATTTCTTAATGAGGGGATTTTACCCGAGATTGCTGAATTGAGGGAATGAAGATTTTGGGTCTACTCAAGTTCAGAACCTCTCCCTGGCAATGACATTCCCAAATCATTCTCCCGAGGCAGGGTCAGAGTTTTAAAACATGAACTTATATTTATGTAGCACCTTTAATGCAATGAAACATGCCAAGCTACGTTACAAAACAAACCATGATACTGAGTCATATAAGGAAATATTGAGTCAGATGTCAAAAAGCTTGATCAAGCAGATATGTTTTTCAGAAGTGTCTTAAAGAAATAAAGCAGAGAGGTTCAGACTTGAAGGGAAGGAAATCCCAGAGCTTGGACTGAGGCAACTGAAGGCATGGCCACAATGTTAATTTGGAATTTACATGACGCCAGTGTTAGAAGAGGGTGGAGATTCTGGAGCAATGTGGGACTTAAGAAGATTACAAAAATAGGGGTAGGGGACTTACAAGCAAGTGTGAAAATTTTAATGTCAAGACGTTGCTTGATTGGCAGCCAATGAGCACAGGGATCATAGGGGATGGAGCTAACTGTGGATTAAAACATGGGCAAAAATCTGGATTATCTTAAATTTACGGGCAGATGGAGACCAATCAATAATTCATTGGATTAGTTCAGTGTGTAGCAAAATAAATAAGTCATGGAGTCACATAGGCATATAGCACAGAAACAGACCCTTCTGGCCAACCAGTCCATGCCGAACATAGTCCCAAACTAAACTAGTCCCATCTGCCTGCACCTGGCCCATATCCCTCCAAACCTTCCCTATTCATGTACTTATCCAAATGTTGTAACTGTACGTGCAACTACCACTCTCTCTGTAAGTTCATTCCACATGCAAACCACCCTCTGTGTAAAACATTTGCCCCTCTCTCCTCTCAGCTTAAAAATATGCCCCCTCATCTTGAAATCCCCTACCCTAAGGAAAAGGCACCATTAACCCTATCTATATCCCTCATGATTTTATAAAGTTCTGTAAGTCACTCCTCAATCTCCTGTGCTCCTGTGAAGGAAGTCCCAGCCAATCCAATCTTCCTTTATAACTCAAACCTCCCATACCCGACAATATGCTGGTAAATCTCTTCTGAAACTTCTCCAGCTCAATAATATCTCTCCTATAACAGGGTGACCAGGACTGGACACAGTACTCCAGAAGAGACCTCACCAACGTCCTGTAAACCCTCATTGTCCCAGTGGGTTGCTCTATCATTTGACAGCCTTGACCAATGGCAGTTTAACCTCAGGGTGACCACCACTTCAGGCAATGGGAGAGACTGAGAAGGAGAGTCCTTCACAGTAACCTCAGCCAGGAATTGAACCCATGCTGTTGGTGTCACTGAGTCATTCAGCCAACTGAGTTAACTGATCCCCAAGTCTATTGGAGGTGACAAAGGAATGGATGAGGGCTCCAAAATCAGATGAGTTGATTCAGGGATGAAATCAGAGATGTTGCTGAGGTGAACATAGAGAAACTCATTTCAGGATCAAATGTGACACCAAGGTTGTGAACAGACTGGATTAATTCAACCCACTGCCAGGGAGATGGGTGGAGTCAATAGTTAAGTAATGGAGTTTGGAGCAGGCTTCAGCACTATGTCACTGGGGGAGGTTTCTGCTCCTTCATTACTAGGACTTAGACAAACAGTGTTGTAACTTAACAACAGGAGAAAAGTTGAGAGAGGTGCTGGTGAAGTGCAGCTGGATGTTTTTGTTTTATTCATTTGTGGGAATGCTGGGGTGTCGCTGGCTGGTCAACATTTATTGCCCATCCCTAGTTGCCCTTGAGAAGGTGGGGGTGAGCTGCCTTCTTGAACCGCTGCAGTCCACCTGCTGTGGGTTGACCCACAATGCCATTAGAGGGGGAATTCAGGGATTTTGACCCAGTGACAGTGAAGAAACGGTGATATATTTCCAAGTCAGGATGGTGAGTGGCTTGAAGGGGAACTTGCAGGTGGTGCTGTTCCCATATATCTGCTGCCCGTGTCCTTCTAGTTGGAAGTGGTCATGGGTTTGGAAGATGCTGTCTGAGGATCTTTGGTGAATTTCTGCAGTGCACCTTGTAGATAGTACACACTGCTGCTACTGAGCCTCGGTGGTGGAGGGAGTGGATGCTTGTGGATG